CCAGGAAAGGGAGAGTTGAGGGAGTGTCACATTTACTGCCGGCATGTTGCTGATTTACGAGTCCTGTGGCGTCTGTCAAACAACATTTACATTTTCCTCTTACGCTGTCAATGTGCTCGATGGATATTTGCCCCTCTTTTGTGCGTTTGTAAGAGAGCAGCTAGAGACATGGCGAGCCAATTCCGACTGGTCAAATACTGTGGGCAGTTGAGCATGCAGGCTGATGGAGCAGCAGCCTGCATGGCAGTATCTCCCCATGAGCTTGTCTGATGCATTATTCTATAAATAAGCAGAGATGAGAGAGCTAAAAAGGCAGACAGGGTGGTCAATAGTGGATGGGGGAAAGAGAGACAGAGAGATGGAGAGAGAGAGACCATGCCGTGTCGAGCTCCAGCTCCCCTACTGAGGGCAGAACTCCAGGATAGACTGCTCAGTGTGGACAATATGTTCCTCTTCAGTGGTGCGTTCACTGTTGTGCTTAACCCGAAAGTCACTGCTACAGGTTTTCCACCAGTGGTTTTGTTGGGTATTATGCCCATGCCCCTTTACATTTAAATGCAGATGGATGATAAATGAAAATAAAACTTGAATGAATTAAGCAATTGCAGATGCTTCTATACTGAAACTGATAACTGAGTGGCAGGAATGGGATTGCCATGATTATACATGCCAGAGAAATGTTGATGAACGTATTGTCCCACCAAAATATGCTTCAAAATCTTAAAATGGAAAACAATTTTAAATACGGTCATTATATTTCATGAGGTCAACTGACTTAGATAAAAAACTAAACAAAATGGCATCATTGTGACTTTGTGAGTCTTATCTTTTTGTTTTATGATCATTTATGTATTTTTTGTATCTCTACCAAGATAGCGAGCTAGATAGCTTTTTCATGAGGATATTCACTATAATAATAAACAATAATGGAAATTCTCCATGATATGAGTGCTTTTTATAGTCTCATCCCTTAAGTCAACCCAATGGATCCGCTATGGGAAAGTATGGACTCACTGTAAGACACTATCATTCCAAATAAAGGAATGTCTTTTTGAACAATCATGTTCCTCCAGAGTTTCTCAACATGGTGAACTGAAGCTCTTCTGCTTATATTTTATTAAGAGACATTAAGTATTTTTCCCTCTAGTTTGTGTCAGGTGTTTCAAAAAGGAATGGAGGTGCAGTGAGAAGTGCTCTGGCAAGTACATGCAAACTACGGCGAAGGGTGTTATAATGCTTTGTCTAGACAGTCAGAAGTCATTTCATTTGGCTGTGATTCAACCCTCTCCCCACCCCTCAGTCCTGCAGACACTGGGATGTCCAGTAAAGAGACAGGGTCATCAGAGCATCTCAGTCGCTGTCGGTAGCCATTAGACCTAAGGAAAAAGTCCAAATATATCTAGACCGGGGAACATCGACCACACAGACCTGACTGACGTCTCTGAAAAGTATCCCAGATAATGGCTGAGGTATCTATTTAAACTTATACCCCTGATTTCTTAAGAAGAAAATAAAGTCCATGTAAAATGGAAGATAAATATGAATATTTCCTTATTTTTTCAGTCTATATGATATTTTACTGAATATACCGCTGACAAAACATCACCATGGTTTGGGTGAATCTTCTTCTCTATTTTCTGACATTTTATAGACCAAAGGATTAATCGAAAGTAAATCAACAGATAATGAATATAATCATTAGTTGCCCTGGATTGTAATACATTTATTTTTTATCTCAGATTTAAATCATTTTAAATTATGATTTGTATAAAGCCCAGAGCTTTGAGCAGAGGCATGGATGAGATGAACGATAAGCAGGTTTCATATTAAAATACTATTTGTAATTACAAAGGACTATTTGGCAGGTTTTGGTGGTTTCTAAAGGCGTCCTCATCAATACTCTCTGTCATGTTGTCAGTATAAATGGTGGGTTTAATAAAAGAGAGTAAACAGAAGCAGGTCACAGGCGAGTGTGAGGGCCACTCGCAGCCCCGCTCCCCTTCCCTCCCTTTCAGTACATCTCTCGCCCTCACATGGCATGCAAAACGTCCCTGATCCTCCCCAAAAGAAGATTAACAAAGCCCTGACAGAGAAATAATCTCTCTGAAAACATTGACTCCTACCATTTCAACATGCTGCCTCTAAACAGTGGAAAATGCCGCTCTGGCATGCTTAATTGCAGTATGTGGGACACACAGTGTTCCTTTAGGTATGCTAAATGGAAGGCCTTGGCTACTGAAGGCATTCCAACATTGTAAATGCACAACAATGGACCTTAACAGTTTTGCGCTTGGCATTGGCTTCAGAAATTCAAGTAAACTTCAACAGGACATTTCCATGGGAAGGTTTGTGTTGTTTCTTACAACAGTATAGTGGGTTTGGCAGATTCTAGATCATAAATGTGTTTGAACTTCAGTGTGTATGAAGAATGATTAATGCAGACTGGAGCTGCTTTCCCAATCAAGTTTAATTGGTCACATAGTTGCCTGTGTATGTTGCCATGAGATAACATTCCAGGCGTTTGACCTCTTACTTTTGATCCATTTAATTTCTTATCTGTGTTCCGCCCAGGGCTGTAAACTGAGGTGCTGTTTGTACACATTTAAGTTTTGTGGCAAAAACCAGCTGTGCAGAATTTCAAAAATGTCCTCTTCATTTCTAAATATTTCTGTCAGCTTTCCCATTTTAGGGAAACATGTGTGGCCTTCAGTTCATTGCACCATGTCAAATGAACTCTTTGACCACAGTGTTAAAACTGAGTCAATGAATGACTAAGATCAGGGTTGAAGAGGAATTCATGTGATGCTAATGCAAAGAGCAGCTAGCCTCAATCTGGCCTTGTAAAACCTGAGCTATCCATAATAATGTTGGCAGATATGTAATGCTGGAATTTTCCATAAGAGGAACAAGCCAGCTCTGTGTCTGTCCATCCATCTCTGTGTCCATCAGTCTGTGATTATCCTGTCAGACTCTCAGTCACACACTGCTGACGCTGCTCTGTGACGCCATCCGATCATTCAAATTATTTTTAGCGTAAAGTCCAGGCACAGGAATTGGTAATCCAAGGAGTGACATCTGGCTTCCAGGGTTTATGTGATTAGCAGAGAGCCTTGCCCCTAATAGCCTAGTGGACGATCTTCCTTACCTCCCTGCACTACACGACTGGTCATCATGTGCCGTAGGCACTCAAAACCATTTTTTAAAGTTGATTTTTTTCATATGTGCAATTATCATAGTTGAGACTTAAAAACATTTGTCAGTAAGCATGGAGGAGCTATGCTATAGCTAATGTACAACATCCTACCAAGCTTACAGTTGGCTCTCTTATGTGCAGCTTCAATCCTGCTTCATTAGGGTTAAGACCTGACCGCGCCAATAACTAATAAGTTCAAGTTAGGCTACAGAGGGCCAAAAGAAAATTCTTAAAAAAGGAAAAGGAAAAGAGGTTAGGAGAGATTCAAAATAACAAATGAGGCAAAGTAAAGTGGAGGGCTGCCAACTTCCTACTGAATTAATCATCATCACTACTCAAAGGGCTAATGATGACAAAGTGACCAGGCACGTCCCCTCCTCTTCGCTTTCTGTCCGCATTAGAGAGCCTACCATTTTGGAAGTCCTTCCATCTTGGAGGTGAACGCTCCTCCAATTATCTTTGAGCAGAACAAAACTTTCCCAGTTCTCAAGACGTATATTAAACACACAAAAGCAGCAAAAAAAGTTTAAAGGCTGTCTGCATGCATGGATTTCGTTAGTGTTTGTGTGCGAGCTGCGACTGAAGCGTTCTTTGATTCCTGCATCAGTTGATCAACAGCGAGTTCTAATTGCATCGGTGTTGGCAAAGACAGACTTAGTTTGTTAGCATTGAACTCATTTTGGGTTTACTGGAAACTGTTTAAACATAGCATTGCTAGACGTCTCTTATAATCTTCCTTGTGCTGTAATAATCATTTCAATGATACAAACAAGCCTGTTTGCAAAGCAAGAGATAAAGAAAGGGACTATTTTTGGCCAGTTGTTTGCTTGGAGAAGCGTTTGCTTATTCTGAGGCAGCTTGTTCCCAGGAGTTCAGAGCACAGCCTCGCTACAGTTCTGTTTTGCCTTCTGCATCTGTAGCTGAGAGGGAGTTCCGTGCCCCCCTCCTGTTCTCATAGTTGCTTTAACCACATTTCTTCCTCCACCTTTTCTAAAGTGAGTAATTGTGTAGTAATAAATGCAACGGCTGGGCAGAGTAGTGGGAAAGGAAATTGCAATCATTCCTTGAGACTATTTTGTGGGACTGTTTTTGCGTATGGTTTGTGGTTGCTCTGCCCTCTCTGGAGTGTCCCATGAAAGGATATTATTTTAGTATTCCCTCAGCCTATTTACTTCCCTGCAGATGGGAACAGTGGGGGAATGACGGAGCCCCCTAGGGGACATGGAGAAGAATAAAAAAAATTATTTGAAAAAAATAATAATAATAATGTTTTGCGAGATCTCGCAAAACTTTTAATTTAGCTCAATGTACATCCTGGTCAGTTCGGCTGCTACGGCAACACAGAAACCACAACAATGGAGTTGTTCATCGATTTTACTTTGAGCTTATCTTTCTGCTAAGCATTCCAGCTTTTATTTATGTTATACAGCAATATAAAAAAAAGTCAGTTTATTTAAAAACAAATCAATTTACCAAGAGTTTTGATGACGCAGTATCTGATAAAAAAAAATGCTTCATGAAACATAAAACAATTTAATGCCAAAGCAATGAATGCTTTGGGATATTTTGGAGGTTATTTAATGCTTATTACTTTACTGTGATGGTAAAGAGCTCAAAAGGTTAATATGCTGACTCATCAGATTCAGCGTTTATGCTTGGTGTTTTAATAACCTGCTCTGACCCAAGCTGTCTTTATTTAAAGCTACTGGCTACGACTCGTGTTTCAGACACTCTCAATTTCCTAACCTCTCCCTTTCATCCCCCCCTTTCCTCTCTGCCCCTCCCCTCTGCCCCCCTCTTGTTACAGGTATGGCCTCGCAAGTGCAAGTGTTCTCCCCTCACACTCTCCAATCAAGTGCCTTCTTTAGCGTGAAGAAACTGAAGGTGGAGCAGAGTTGTAACTGGGATATGACAGGGTACGGCACACACAGCAAAGTCTACAGCCACAACAGCAGCAAGAACTTGTCGGCAGCCAGTGGCCCCCTCGGCATCAACAGCTCCCTGCAGGTCGCCAGCTCCACCCTGCCGTACGAGCAGGCACTCATCTTCCCAGCCAGCGTGGGCCACATTGTGGTCGCCTCAGTAAGCAGCACTTCGGGGGCCTTGGCGTCTCTGCTGAGCAGCGCGGGTGGAGGTAGCAACAGCAGCAGTAGTGGTGGTGGAGGTGGCGGCGGCGGCAGTGGCGTTGGTGGCGGGGTTGCTTTTCACAACCTGACGCGCCGGAGCACGGTCAGTCTTCTTGACACCTACCAGCGATGCGGGCTTAAACGCAAAAGTGAGGAGCTTGACAACAACAGCAGTGTGCAGATCGTTGAGGAGCACGGCCGATCGATGATCCAGAACGGAGCAGCCAGTGGAGCCACGGTGGCCACAGTGGCCACCGCCACCTCCACTGCAACGTCCAAGAACAGCGGCTCCAACAGCGAGGGGGACTACCAGCTGGTTCAGCATGAGGTTCTCTGCTCCATGACCAACACCTACGAAGTGCTGGAGTTCTTGGGGCGAGGAACCTTTGGACAGGTGGTTAAGTGCTGGAAAAGGGGCACCAACGAGATTGTGGCGATCAAGATCTTGAAAAATCACCCGTCGTATGCACGGCAGGGTCAGATCGAGGTCAGCATCCTGGCACGTCTCAGCACGGAGAATGCAGATGACTACAACTTTGTTAGGGCCTACGAGTGCTTCCAGCACAAGAACCACACGTGCCTGGTATTCGAGATGCTGGAGCAGAACCTGTACGACTTCCTCAAGCAGAATAAGTTCAGCCCTCTGCCGCTCAAATACATCAGACCCGTGCTACAGCAGGTGGCCACAGCGCTAATGAAACTAAAGAGCCTGGGCCTGATCCACGCTGACCTGAAGCCAGAGAACATCATGCTGGTGGACCCGTCTCGACAGCCCTATCGGGTCAAAGTCATTGACTTTGGCTCCGCCAGCCATGTGTCAAAAGCAGTCTGCTCCACTTATTTACAGTCCAGATACTACAGGTAAGAGCTGAAACTTTGGCATTTTAATTATTTTATTATGAAATGGATTTGAAAGAAATTAGGCATTTATGTAACATTGCAGATGCAAAGAGGAAATGGCTTGAAGAAAGTCATGTCCTGTTGTTTGTTCCTGTTCCTGTCCATTCTGTTTGGATGATTATTGTGCTTTTTGCATCTTGTTTGATTTATCCCAGCTTTTATAAGAATGTTTTCCTAGCTGAGATGATTATTTGGCCAAACACCCATGTGATATTTTGCCAACCTTATGAGCTGCTGCTGAAGTTTTCTCTCACTCTTTGCTTGTTACTCTCGTTGTTAACTCCCCTTCCAGTGTGGGATAACATAGTAAAACTCAGAGGCTTGCTGAGTAAACAGCTGCTTTTTTTGTTTAATGCGATAAAACATGTTGCAGTGTTACTTCAAAAAGTTAAAAACCTCTCAAGTTCTTCCAAAACTTGGTGAAACTGGTCAAGACGAGACAGACCGTCAGAAATATTTGAAGAAATTACTTTTTTTTGTCTCTTTGAGAGGTTCATGGGAAAAAAATAGTTTTCCCTATTTTTGGAAGGTGTTTGAAAAGATTTCAGAGAAACTCCCTCATTGAAGAACGGCACCAATCGTGGGGTGGCAGCCTGCCCACAGGCATCTATTCACCCCTCTGCTCCCCAGGCCCCCATACCCTCAGCCCCCCATCACCATCGCGGGCTCCCATTTCCCCAGGGATAGAGATGAGGGGTCAGCCTGGGTTCTCCGGTAATATGTGCCTGTAATCCACACCAGCGGGCCCTGCATTAGAACCAGATGAGTCTTCCTGGGTAGGCCCTTTCCTTTCTTCTTCACAGTACTTCTTAAACAGTATTTTTTCGCCCATAGCAAACAGTGTGTTTAGGTTTCAACGGAGGCAGCGTCAGGGGAACTGTGCGAGGAATCAAACAGTGTCCATATCCGTACAGAGAGGAGCTTTGTTTGGGGCTCAGGCCCGGTGCTGGGGGCCGAGCCAAAGGGAAGAACAGGTGTGAGCCGTGGTACCACACAGTAGATTCAGAGTTTGTTATCTTTGTGGATAGACTTTTATCATATCTGACAGGTGTATTACTTTATATGAGCTATAGTGTTTATTGAACTGGACTTTATAAACACTTCTCCCAGACTGTCTCTTAAATCCACAATATATTAGGATCCCTGTATGGGAATTTGATCGTCAACAGGGCACTGCTGTTATATCAGTTTAAGTAGCTCATCCTGAAGTGAACACCTCTAGTAGCCGGTTGTTGGTGCCCCTGGGCTTTGGGTCAACAAGCAGGCCATAAAATGTTCCTGTTTGTTTTCTCGGGGAGTGACGAGTGGAGGAGAGCGGAGAGATCATCCCTTAATTTCCTCTTGGCAGCAGAAGAGGGGAAAGAAGGCTGGGATTGACCAGAACAATTACCCATCAGCTACCAAAACCAAAACCAGCGCCTTGGTGAAACTAGTTTGAGGCAATGGGAGTGGTGTTTGTGTGTCACATGGTTTGTAGTGTGTGTTGTCTCATTGTGAGGAATGAGGCAAGTCTTACAATTTAAGGAGTTAGCTCATGGGAGATGAGCAGTACGGGTGTCCTAGCATTGCATGCCGTTTGGGCAGCAAACAAACTCCAACTGCGGGTAGAGTTCATGGTGAGTTCAACAGCTTAGAGGAGAACATCAAACCATCTTTGATGACTTCAGAGGAGATGATTGCGCGATAGTTTCTATTTCTGTTGTGAAGACATTACCTGTACAGGGTAGAGATTACATACAGGTGGGATTTGCCAGCTCCAACTTGCTGGCTCTGTGTTTCTCTATATCCTTTACAAAAGCAAAAACATCCCCCTGTCGTCTTCTTTGATATACCGTTTTTTCTGTTGATGAGGAAGAAATAAGATAAGAGATAAGGAGGAATCCTCGAGCCCATTTCAGACATTATACAAACAGAGCCATTAACACTATATGCCAAAGAAAGCATTGCATGTGCTGTAAGAGCCTTGTAAATGACTTATGGATTTTCCACAAGGTTGACTCATGCAAATAAAACACTAGCGTTCAAGGTAAACAAGTGATGTGCAATTTGCAAGAACAGCTCTCAGGGTGCTTATAGTTTCAACTTTGTTCGCTTCAGTGCTTAGTGAATACAGGCTCATGTATCTGAGCTCATCTATCATTGTCAAACAGGCCTGTCTGTGGCACTTATTCACTCAGTGCCACTGTACTTCTTCAATACAGTCGACTATCGTTAAAATATATTATAACCATAAACTCTGTGTTCTTAATTATTGTGTAGATTGTACTTCCTCATCTCAGTAAGTTGTGACCTTAACCTGGTCCTCCTGCATGTATCCTCCTTTCCTCTCCTACTACCCTTCGTCCCTCTAGCCTTTAGCCTCTGACGTAACAGGTAAGCCAGCTAGTCAAGCTTAGCCTTTGCCAGATAAAGGGATTATTGTCTTGTCCCAATTGGGCGTGTTTGTCCTATTTATCTCATCATCGAAAGACCATGGGATGGGGGGAATGCAGCAATATTTTTTAAGTTTTTCTAGATTTTCCTGAGGCAATGCAGCTGGCAGGAGCTGGCCTTGTGGTGGAAGGATGTTAAGAGGAAGACACTTTTCCCCCCTAAGTGATAGTTTGTTTGATTGTCCAAAGGCCTTGTTATTTAGGTGTTGCCAAATGCTGCTCTGTTTTCATGCCTTTAAGTATATCCACTGGAGGTTTGCATGGATCTGAAGCTGGTTCATTGCTGCTTCTTAAGCTTAACATTTGAAACCCAAGCCGGTATACTCAATGGAAATAACTCAAACTCTTCATAACAGACACTCAAATTGAATTTAAGGGGTCAGTATTCCTCAACTTAAAATCTTGAAATGTAGGGGTTTTACATCTGGTTTCTGTAACTTTAGGAAACCGTAAATCTGCCAATCACACCCACTACGTGCAGCGACTGACGAAGGTGAGAATGAATGCAGTGTTTCTTTCTCAAGCTCTCTTTTCATTCTTACTTTTTGTGTGCAACACTATGACCAGCTTTCTGGAGTGACTGTCTGAAAGCCTTTATCCCAGTATTTAGAGCAAATATCGTTTGCGTCAAGCCCCTCTCTTTCTACCCCACCTTTGAGTTTTCTCTGTTCAAACGGCTGTAAACTGTTTTAGCCTCTATTTCCATGGTTCTTTTCTTACTTTTTCTTTTCCGTACCCATCAGAAAGGCTTCCTCGTCGTGGCAGTTTTACAGAGGCTTGCTTAATGGCCACAAAACAGAGGGAAAGAGATAGAGACAGAGCAATTTCCTCTAGTAATTAAACATCCTAATATTAACAACTCAGAAGCCTGAAGCTGTATTGCTCACATGTCAGCGCCTGCCACCTGCACACATCACAGACTTTATACTGCTGGAGAAACCTTCATGTTACATACAGTTGTAGAGCATGAGAATATAGCCTACTAGTCATTGTGGTTGAAAGGAAAATGAGTGTCTGAGAGGGAGGGAAAGGGCTTGTTGATGTCACCAGTGATCTGAAGTGGCCAGTGCTTATCAGTGTGAAGCAAAAGGCCTCTGGCAGAACAGATCTTAATGCATCCGGATGGAAACTTTAAAAAAGGCTCACATTATGGAACTCACTGCACTTTCTACTTTTAGTACCTTTTTATACATGTTAGCAGTGAAGATGGGTGCAGCCAATGCTACGGTAGGATCTCTAGCACTGCCAGCCTGTATGTCGAAAGTAATAACTGATGAAATATGTATCTGCCTCCATCAGGGGTGGTGCAGTCACAGCTCGGGCTGAGTGGAAGACGAACCCCCCCCCCCAACCCACCTGTCTATCTGTCTCTCTATCTGTTGTTAGCGTTGCACAAGCATACAGACAGGGCAGGCGTTCCAGCACATTTACCCTGCCTCCGTGCGAAACATCAAGGGGTGTTTTAATGAATGAGGTTGCTATTAGTTACTGTTCTGTGAAGCGTGTGTTAAACAGTGAGTGTGTGCGTGCTACAGAGGAGGAGAAAGGTGGGTAAACGACAGGATCAGGTTGCCACAGAGGAAAGATGGATTAGAACAGGACAGAAAGGCAGATTCGCTTTGTGGCAGCGGCGGTGTTAATAGTGCAGGTGTTGTTTATGTGAAGATCCTCGAAAAAGTCTCAGGAAAGAGATTGGGAGGTAGGGTGGAGGTGGGGGGTTTGTGAAGAAGGCCCTTGTTTTGCATTCCTAACCAGCACCTGGAACAGCGCTCTTTTTCCGCCAAGCCTTGACAGATTATTACTAATGCAGATGAGATTTCATTAGGTTCTACCTGACTGGGTGTGTGCTGTGACACAATGAGACTTATTTTGCTGACTTTCTGGTTGCTTTCATTATTTATTCTCCAGCTTGTGACCACTCCTCTTGTTGTTGACAGTAGATGCTATTATCAGGAACCGGTAGTAAAAGAGAGCCCCCTAAAATGATAATTACCGCTCTCTGTATTCGCTACTGTGTTTTTTATGACAGTCATAACATCTTAGTATGCATGACAGGATCCTAATAACCTGTTTCTCATTTATAATTTGCCTCTGGGCAGCTTTTGCATGTGTCTCCACAGAGTAGGAGACATGTAGCAGCTAAGCTAATTAACTACAGGTAGTCGAGCATATGCATCGTAACATCTACTGGAGTCAACCGCTCTAAGTCATTTGGGTAAATAATGAATGAGAATTATTTAACTCTGAAGGATAATGTGAACCTGGCCACCTAGCTGACGGATACACATATCTATACACTCTGACAGGCTGCCCTTGGTGTGTGTGTGACTAAGGGGGTGTTTGTGCGACACTGCTAGGGTTGGAGTGTGTGCTGTACGACGAGAAGGAGCTCTCTGAGTTACCCCACATACTTGTCTTTGTTCTCCCTCGCTGTCCAATTTCCATACATTTCCCAGGATATTAAGCTGACGGAAATTAAGCTGCCTTGATAAAACGCAGCGAGACGCCCACTTAAGCTCACTGAGGCTGCAATCTGTCTGCTCTATATTGATTGGCTTATTTAAAACGTAGGATTCTTTCCTCACCTAAGCTTTTGGGGTCGTTAGCAAATGTTGGCAGCACACAAGCAGAAACCTGTTCAGCCTTACAGGTGTTTGCTGCATAACACCGCAGGCTAACGGGGAAAATAATAAAGTGCAAGGTCATTAAAATGTCCAGACTCAACTGTAAGGGTTACCACCACGAAACAATGGTGTTTTTTTTTCCTCTGGCTTAAGGTTGATCATTAACTGGACAGGTAAAGTTTGTCTCAGCAGTGGTCGCATATTAATTTTCCCGCTTGCCACAGATTGGTCTTTCTTTTCTGAGAGTCAAGCACATGTGGGTCGGCAGGGTGATGACTGCCATCAGCGTCTGACTGGCACAGGTGCCCCCGGGTCTAAATAAATCATGAGGCCTCCTGCTGATCCCCCCCTTCCACCATTCCTGTATGCCTGCCATCCCTCCGCAGGGAGCTCCAGACAGGGGGGCAGCCCCCACCTCTGCGCGCTGCCTCGGCTCCTTCCCGCCCACCTTCGCTTTCTCTCCTTTCTCACCTTCCCTTCAGCCCCCCTCACCTCTTCCATCCACTTGCATGAATATTTAAAAGCTAGCACCAGGATGGAAAAATATGCAGCAAGGGCAATGAAGACTTGGGAAAGAGGAAAAAGAGAAATGTCCATTTCGGGACTCGGAATGTCTTTTTTTAGGGGTATCGATGAGTAGTCCAATTACAGAGGGAGAGATTTATAAAGACAGATTAAAACAGAAATGGAGAGAGAGACAGTCCGGGCTGAGAGACGCTGATCCAAGCTATAGCTGTCCAGCTGGGGAGAGGTCCGGGGGGGATTGGGGAGGCCCGGCAGGGACCTGCATTTGGCTCCATGCTGGCTGTGTGTGTGTGTGTGTGTGTGTGTGTGTGTGTGTGTGTGTGTGTGTGTGTGTGTGTGTGTGTGTGTGTGTGTGTGTGTGTGTGTGTGTGTGTGTGTGTTCGGACAGACTGCCACTTTAACAGAGGATGCCTGGTGTGCAGAGGCCCATGCAGGCTCCCATGAAGTTTTCAACAGAACAAAACAGATGCATTTGTTTTCTCAATGGGAGGAATTTGCTAATGTGCATATACAAGGGTAAATAGTTTGGCTAATTTGTGGCAGGCAAGTGACCCCCCCTCTCCTCTCATCTCTCTCTTCATTTAGTATCATCCCTGGCTCAACACACTAACTTGACTTTCCTCTAACTGCCATTTTTAACGGTTTTAACCGCGTGCTTTTATGTTGCTCACTCTTTTTGAAAAATGTGTTCATTTTGTTAGATAGAAGATGTCCGACAGCCCGGTTAGACATAGCTCATATTCGTGGTGACAGTTGTCGCTCTATAAAAATGTTGCTATTTTTCATTGCAGATGGCAAAATTAAACGAGGCGCTGTTCTTACCACACAGGCTATTTTCAGCAGCGCTCATAACGTCGTAAAGAGACAACGCCATGTGACTTTTAGATTCCAATTATTAACGCCTCACTTTGTTCGCATTCATGGTAGTCAATTTCAGATAGGATCATGAATGTTTTATTAAAGATATTTCACTTTAGTTAAGAGGGGAATATGACAAAAAAAGGAATAAAATAAAACTAAAGTGAAAGGCTTTGAAACGCCTAAATAAAATCTGATGTTTGAATATACAATACATTTCTAGCAAACAGTTTTTCTGAAGATTTAAGAATTGTTTGGGTCACAAAAGATTAGGGAAGTTAATGACACATAAAGGATCTGATGTGGCTGTCTGTCATCATTGCGCAGTTGTCTGGGGTGAAGTCTGTCATAGCATTCTTGTTCCAGTGTCTTAAGAAAAAGCTGTTTCCACAGATCCCACGTCAGCATTGTCATTCTTTTATTGACCTTGTGTCTCACTGAACTCCTCACATATGAACGTCTCCAGGGTTTTCTGAGAATGAGGCAGAGGAGCTTTTCACAGAAATGCCTTTCTTTTGGGGAGATATAAAGGACACTCAAGATTCTGTTCGAGCAGCATGCTAGTCATAAAACAGTTCTGAAGCAAATCCTATTTCACCCAAGCTTGATAAATAATTTAAAATGACTAATAGCGCCTTGTGACAGAGAATGTATCGCTGTGGTGTATCAGATTGCGGCGGTTTGGGCCCTAGGCGTAATTTGTTTGGAAAAATAATTACTCCTGTATTGGATCCTGGTTAAATATTTAAAGGGTTAGCATTAGGAATGGGGCAGGATCCAAGGGTGTTTTAATTTACTTCTGTGCAAACCCGTTGCTGTATAGACATCACTGCTGCAGACAAGCTGCCACTAAGGGAGGAACAACTGCTATATTTGTTTTAATATTCAAACCGCTACATTTCTAAATTTCATGGAGAAAGAGCAAGGCAAACTAATGAACTTCTCCTGTGTGCTTTGCCACCGAGCTTTGAAGACTAATCCCAGTGTTTTATGAGCGTGGAGCGTCGGATTGTCTGTTGGGTTCAGCTGGTTATTGAGTGCACAAGCTGGGAGGCACCAAAGAGCATTAAGACGCTATATATCAGCACACAGAGGAAACCCAAAAAAAAAACAAGCTCCAGTGAGATTGCAGATAACAAAAGAAGAAAAAAAAGCTACAATGGAACGAAAAAAAGAGAAAGGGAAACAAAAGAACAATAGGCAAATCAATCACTCTAAATGTGAACAGTAGCTGTTCAACCGCGCCAGGCAATTTGAGGTGTGTGTGTGTGACTGTCTGATTAAACAAGAAGGTTATGTCCTGTCCTGCAACACACAACCTGTTCACTTCCTCCCGCAATATTGAGTCATTCACAGCATGGAGGATTTTTGGTACACAGTCAACACAAGCACTAGCTTTTCCCTCGGCCGTCTATCACTGAGCTGAGAGAACACGGTTTGTTATCAACAAGATCTGGACATAGCTCACATCACCCCTTTAAACACAGCAGGGACG